TGGCTGGATGCTTGCAGCCCTGGCAACGTTGAAGTGTCAGAAGGCGGATGTTCCGCCGAGTTGTGTGACCCGGAGCGTATTGGGGCATCCTGCTTGACCAGGTATGATTAGATTGCTGCTATCTCCGGGAAAAATGTAAACAGCACAGAGCTTCAAGGGTCTATGAACGTTCCTTTACTAGGAATCATTTTTCTACCCTTGTGGCTGGATGCTTGCAGCCCTGGCAACGTTGAAGTGTCAGAAGGCGGATGTTCCGCCGAGTTGTGTGACCCGGAGCGTATTGGGGCATCCTGCTTGACCAGGTATGATTAGATTGCTGCTATCTCCGGGAAAAATGTAAACAGCACAGGTGTGTCAGTTATGGTAATGTGCCCAGATATCTTTCTGTAAGCGGCACTACACGCAAAATCAACTGTAGTCGCCGGTTGTCATGATCAAAATAATCTTCCTGGAAGCGTCCAGAGAGTCACGAATGGGAAATGAAGCCAGCTGTCAAGGATCTCCAATATGCGTTCAATGTGTTCAGTGTTTTGGAGACAAAGTTACGAGTTGTGAGATCCAAGAGCCTTCAGAGTAGGCCTTCGAGAGTCCTCCTGAAGCTGTGTCCATTCGCTTCAACGAGCAGGGCCAGGTGGTGGAGTTTACAGCAGGCCGATGTCTCCGCGAGCGTGGGTACCCTCCCACCAATCAACATGAAACCTGACGCTTCGGGGGTCCTGGAAGACCATGCTCCTTTTCAAGGGACCGACTGTCAGGTTCCACGGTAATTGGTGGGAGGGTATCCTTGAGAGAGACTGAGTGATGGAAATCTAACTGGCAACGAATTGGCTTCCCGCTCCTATCATGGATGGCTTTTAGACATCACCACCCAGCGCACTGAATAACTGCCAGGCCCAACTGACCTTTGTTGCCAAGTTGCCCTCTTGACTATTTTCTCACTTCCCCCGCTTGTAGTTTGCTTTTCGCTGGCAAAAAACCGACCAGTGCAATGCAGAAAGCAAGCGGTTAACTTATTGCAAAGGTTCTGGCCAAGTAAAGGTGCCGATGCACATCGACACTTTGAGCTTTTCAGGAGCGGTCGAATACCCTTACGGCCATATCCATGAAGATGGCATTGTTGGGCTGACCTACGTTTTTCCACGGGGCCCAAACATCTCAACCTTACTTTTGCCCCCTCCAAGCAGCCACCAGCACATTGTTTGATTTGTCCCAGCCACTCCCTGCCCTGGATGGACACAGAGATCAGATTGATGCATTTTCAATGGCCAACTGGGACACGTGCCGATAGGCGGGGTGTTTTTGAGGCAACGGGTTTTCGAACGGATGTTGGCCTTCGTCCCAAGAATGCTGGGTGGGGTTTGCGAGGTATTTGTTGTGCGTCCTTGCAGTCTCGCCGTGTGGAGAACTTCTCAATTGAGATGTACCCCCCAAATGACTTAATTAGTAGGGCTGGTCTGTTCCAACAGGCGGAGCATATGTTGCTGACCTGTTTGTTTACAGGTCGATGACTGTAGAGAGGCCCTTAGCAAACCCTGGTGATTCATAGCTTGTTGGGGTTCCCTCACTTTAGGGGGGAGCATCTCCTGCAAAACATCGTGCATTGTGTTTCCTGATCAACTTGGAGGGAGCACCATGCAGAAAGGCTTGCTTGTGGCTTGATTCTGAGGTACTGCTTTGTTCACACTGTTAGAAGTATCAACCAAAGGCCAAGAATCCCTAATTTCATGCGTCTCCACATAATTCCGGAGAATCAGCAGCAGCAATGAAATACCAACGACTTCTTCTCGTGCCTTGGTGGCTCCCAGCCATCCCCTTGTTTGTTTAGCTTTTTAGGGTTTGGTGCGGTTTCCATCTAACCCACTAAAAGTTCAATGTTTGCAGAGGATCTGAACACGGACAGCCCAGATGCATATAGAAATCAAGGGGGAGGCGGACATGGAAGATCATTGTTCTTCAAAAGGACCTTATATCAGGTTCCATGTGAATGTGAAGGAGGTTGCACATGAGACACCGATCAACAGTTCCCCTGCTCCCTCCTGCCTGAAGCTTACTGCATTTTGACCATTTCACCTACTGTCTCATGTTGGTAGATGATTCGTTAAAGCTTCAACCTGACAATCATGACCTTAGTTACCAAGTTGGATTTTTCCAGGGAACTTACCCTCCCTTCCACAAACAAAGCACCTGTGAGAGGGTACCTGGAAGATCATGTTCCTTACGGATCCCCTGTCAGGTGCCATGTTAGTGGGAGTGAGGGTAAGCAAATGGAGATGAGCTGCCCTTACCCTTTCGGCAGCGCACTGACTGGCGCTGAGCGCTTTGGAGGCTACGTCATGGACCGGCGCCAGGGCAATACCGGGGGCTTGGGCGGCCTGCTGGGGCCCTTCTACGCCATCGGCAAGCCCTTGCCCTTTCCCGAGGCACAGCCCTACGCAGCTCGGCCATGCGTTACGGTCCAAGTTCCCACGTCCCGCGTTCGGGGACTCGGACCGAAGTCACCTTTCGGTTGTTCGGTCGATTTCAGGGGTTGAGACAAATGGACTTGGTTTGTAACATTTCACGGCATATCCCAAAATCCTGAATGCCCAGGTAAGGTCACGGAGGGTTCCATTTGAAACTTACTGTGGTGGAGCTGTGAGGAGCTCACGAGTACTTGCCCTTTTTTGGACCCAGACTGCCCTTTTTTGCCCGAAAACCAGCTGATTGGCTGCAAGCTTGGTTAGCAAAACCAGACTGGCTCGGTCTTGCTTTTGTCTTTTTCCATTGCATGTGCCGTGGGGTAACTTTCTGAGCATGCTCACAGGAACCGCCAGTTCCCATTTTTCCTAGTTGCACTATCAATCGGACTGCTTCGAGGGCGGAAGCTTGCTCTCCCAGTGTGCAATGCTTTCATTGAGAAGGAGCTACCTCTGAAACAGAAGCTACCTCTCAAACAGGAGCTACCTCTGAAACAGGATACTTCAGCACGTCGGCATTGTTCATCGGAGTGCCCTGAATTGGGTCGCCAAGTTCAGGGAAAGCATGGGTGGTGCTGTTTTGGCTCGCCTGGAGTTGAACACTCGGCATCCGGCCAGCCGCCATTGTGCGGTCTCCGAGCCGCGCAGAGCAGCCGGCTGGATGAGTCCAGAATTTGCGGCTGGCCTCCCACCCGGCTGTGTTAGTGCCCGCTTGCATGCCTGTCCGCCTGCCTTGGTCAGCTAGAGTCGCTGTCTACTCAGTTGCTTGGCTGCCGGTCCAAGCCCTTTGTGGGCTGGACTTGCCACCTTGGTCGACCTCGAGTCCCCACGGCTTGTGGCTGAAGCGTACTTGTGTTATTTCCACCAAGCCCGCAGCGTCCGACCGAACCAGGAACAATTCACGGGGCTCCTCAAAAGATGCATTTTGCCCATTTGAAACATGGCTTGTTCCACCCAAAAAAACAGGGTAAACCACCATTTACAAGGCAATGTTCAGGTGTCTAATGCATCCGGATCCCTGCTTCGGTGCGCCCGAGGAATGGTCTTGGCAGCGCAAGCTCGTCACCTTTCTCTCGGAACTCTTTCCTCCACAATGAGTCGGCGCGCCTTGAGCAGGTAGCCTTTGAGGGTGGCTTGATACCGCGCACGCGCGCGGAGGTGTGGCAGTTCTTTGGTAACCGAAGAGTTGGCTACTTTGATTGAAGTAAGACAAGAATAAACCAACCACATCAGAAATCATTTGCACCTGCCGGTCGCTTTCCCCAAGCCACTCTTTCTGCATGTATTTTCGAACAAGTCATACCAGAAGGAGTATCAACGCATATATGAGCGTGTTCCGGTTGAAGCCACCTGTGTCAGGTGTTTTTTCAATGGTCAAAGTACCAACCTTTTCTAGACCCAGCCTCGACTCAGCTTGCAGATCCCAATACGATCCTTCGGGGCGGCCTCTCCGGGCTGCTGCTCTCTGAGTCACGGCTCGATTGCTTGAAGACAGAAAACCAGACAAAAAACCTGGCTGTGGGTCAAACCCAATGGGATCCCATTATTTTGGGGGATTGGTGAGTTCACCACCCATGTTAGAACCTATTTTAGTGGGGGTTCGGATGTTCAGTGGAGGCTAACCGGGCTTTACCCATGGCCACATGTCCAGGAGCCGGTGAAGCTGAGCGAACGTTTGGCCACAGATTCCGTGCTTGAGCACCTCGTGTGGGTTTGCTCTGACATTCCTAGAAAGGGAATCAGAGACATGCACGCAGGCTTGTCCCAAAGAATCAGCAAGTGGCCCGCCCTGAAACACAAGTCAAGGTGTTTCGCATTCTTTTTGTTGGAATAAGTCCTGAAGCCACACCTAGCACACAGACACATACAGGGCCACACACACACACATACCACATCAGCACCTGCACCCAGCAGGATCACCGTGACCTCGGCTCCGACCGAGAACCCTCCCCGCCACATCAGCACCTGCACGTGTGTGGTACTATACGACAGCAAGAGATGAAATCACGATTTGCCGTGTCTACAGCAACACAACCTCGTGCCAAGATGCTCTCCAAACCAACATGTAGACTCACAGTGGATAGGTAAAAGGCCAGTATTGACTAGGTCCCCCAGTAGTGGCCTTCTCTCCCCTTTTTGGCTTTTGGGTTCGCCTAGTAACATAGACAGAAACAATTGGGTAGCCTTATTCTAACCTCTCTGGAGGACCGAGTCGCCGGGGCTCAATGGCCAGCCGTGGCTTGCAGGGAACGTGCGCCTCGCAAGGGCTGAGATGGCACGGAGTTTTGCATACCAAGCACCAGTGCTTCGCATTGAGCATTGCTTGAGATTGTATCACCTAGAAAAGATGACAGATGTTACAAGCCTGTGCAAGTAATGCTTGCCAGCATGTACGTTAGCACGTCAGCGACTCAATACTATACTGTATGGGTATGGGTCAAAATTAGACCACTAAAGGACCGCAGGTTTTAGTCCATGTTCCCTTTACCAGGGTTCCATTTTGGGTACCCAGTTTTGACCCACAGTGATATGGCCAAGCTGGCAGTTTGCTGAACGTCCGACCGCGAGGGGCGTTCGCCTCACCGCTCTCCGAAGTTGGCCGAATGCCGCTGACTGCGGCCGCGCCCAGGCCTCCGGGGTGATTTTCGAGCTGGCGAGTCATGTCCAAGGGATCGATTGAAATGCGCCACAAACACCCGGGTGGAAGGTTAGCAAGGGACACTCCCAGCCAGAAACAGCGGCCACCCGTGTATTTCCTTACATGGTTCTGACCATTTGAATACCGGGCTTTGAGCGTGACTCACATGCTGCCCAGCGGTGCCCTTGTTCAACAATTTTTTGGGTAAGGGTTTTCCTGTAAACTCAACGACATGCCCCTTGTTCTCCATGGCCACTGGGCATCTGAGTCTTCAAATGCCACCATTGGGCTTCCCAGTTTTATCACTCCGACTGTCGCGGGTTTCTTGCATTTCTTGGGTTCAAAGTTTCAAAGTGTGACTGCTTGTTGCAGGACATCCTTGGTCTTTCCAGACAAGGTACTCGTGGTTTTGATGAGTTTGGTTTCGAAGATAGCCATTACTCCTAGCCGCGAAAACAAGTTGCCTTTCATGCTTGTTTGACCTACTCATGGTCATTGTATCAGATGTGGTTACGAATTGGTTGCTCCTTTGTTTGACGACCTCGAGTAGCGCCAATAATGCGGCAGGGGTTCCCATGGCACCGGAATGTTGCGAACGCCATTTAGTTCCAAGGATTGCTTTTGCAGCAATAGAGTGACATGATTTGCCGACGATGAAGTTTGTGCTGCACATTCGCCCCTTGCAAACAACTTGCACCTTGTGCCATATTTGGATGGTCCAGAAGCCAGGGCACTCGTCATGTTTACAAAGTTGTTTCCAGGAATGGCAAAGTTTGGATGCTTCCTTACAACTTCCCCATCCGCAGGCTCTTGCCGCCTGCGGCATCCATCTCCAAGCCAAAGGCAGGATGATGCAGGATGGGTTCTTGAGTGAGGCGATTGCAGCATTTCCGTAGCCAGGCTTCCATGCGATACCATAGGAAACAACTTGGCGTGGGCGAGTCTTGCCATCGGCAGAAGCAGTTAGCCCGAATTCCGAATTCAGGAATTTGATCTCGGGAAGCAGGCATTGGCACCTGACTAAGACAACCGTCAAGCAATTCAACAGGCATCCGAGGTGCGGGATACCAGCGCCCAAGCCAACATGACAAGACAGCCTTATTACTTACTGCCACAACTAACACACTGAAGCTGAAGCGGTTCTGGATGTGCTCATACAGACTGATCAGCTTAGCCTATGCCAGCCAGACACGATTACTGACGGACACTGCGCAATGCTTGTCCCAGGCCACACCTGCATTGAGAACATGCCAACCATCGCAAGCCTTGTTTGAAGGCAGGAGAAAGGAAGCATCGTGCTCGCGTGGGCGCCATTTGACTTGGCTGGGCGTGACGACTCCAAGGAGACAATGCTTCTGCTTTGTTAGTTGCCACAATATGCACAAGGAATGTATCTGCGGCACACTTTGAGCGGAAACCATTTTGTGTGTTGTCAACACAGGCTTCATGTCTTCATGCTTTAGAGTCACGACGAGTTGAGATAGATTCACCATTGGCACTTTGCAACCTTGCCCGTTCTGTGTTGGATTAACCAATGTGGTTGCATTGTGGTGTATCCTCCATTAAAGACCCTTCCTGAAAGATTTGCTTGTTGCAGGGTACTTGCATTGCATTTCCGTGCCAGTGACAATCGCAGATCTGATCAAAAAGTCTCTCCAGGGATCCTTTTTCAGAAGTCTTCTGGTTGACCACCCAGCCAGACATCTGGCCGTTGGTCAAAACCAATGGTACCATTTTGGAGTCGGTGAATTCACCACCCATTTTAGAACCTATTGTAGTGGTTGGATTGGATTGGGATGTTCACTGGGGGTACGGGCTTTGGATTCTGACCCATGGCCCATCTCTTGCGGATTCTCTTTCGCTCTTCACCTGTGAGGCCGCCACGCCTCTCCCGCGCAGGGACTTGATGCGGCTCTTAGGCGCAGCGCGAGCTAAACCACGCGAACGGCGTCTTCGGCGGGCCTCAACTGGACATTCTGTGGATGGTTGCGAAATCCTCACCTAAGAAACCCGGGAATGATGATTCCCTTGCAAATACCAACAAACAATGGCTTTTCATGGTTTCAAAGTGGTGCGAAATGGATTTCGTCCATCCATCGTATGGCTGTGGCTCAAAAACATGTGCCACAATGGCACCCTTGGCTTTTTTGGAACCAAAGACTAGAACCTGCGTAGGCCTGGCTAAAAAGAACATGCGCCACAGCCATATCATAATGGACATGTGGGAGACGTCGAAACCAACTCAAGTCATGATGAGCCATTATAAAATACGATGTTCATGATTGCTTTGCTTCTTCTATTTTGCGTTTTGGCGGGCGTTTGTCCATGAATCAAGGGGCTCATGAAAACACAAGGTGAGGTGAGGGCGTTTTCCAGCAAGCCTTATTGCCGGGCCGCGCAAGCCCCAGCCGCATTCGGGAAGGATTTATGTCCAGCCATGTTTGAGAGTTTAAATTGAAGTGAATAACCATGTAGTAACCATATGGGTTCCATTTTGGTACCGGTTGTTTGAGCCACAGCCATATATCAACTTGGAAGTCCAAGGCTGATGGGGGCAATGTGTTTGTTTAGGGAGTTTCTTGCCGGATGGGATCTATTCTTGGCTTAGAACCATGTACGGAGAGCCGCCTGAAGAATTGCAGGCATGCTAGATGTATTCACAGACCAGGCAGACAGAACGAAACGCCAGTGAACTAAGAAATCAGTACAAGGAGGGGCTGAGGGAGCTTTTCTGGGGAAGCACAGAACGAACCCATCCAACAAAAAGGATGTTCATTTGTTTGGAGACAGGGCCATGTTGCTCATCCCGATTACTTTTAAGAGTTGGGAGACTGGCAACCACTGAAGGGGTCTCCAGGAATTATTTTAGCAAAAAATAGTAATTGAATTGCAAAGGGGAATTGCAATCGAGGTCAGGTGGATTTCCATTTTGCACTTTTAGATTGCAACAGCTTGAGCTGGGCTTTCATTTAGCAATTTCAATTAGTGACGGCAGCAACGGTCAATGCTAAATGGCAGCAATGATGGACCTCCTTCACTGAGCGCGTTTGCTATTTTTTGCTATGTTTTGCTATGTTTTGCTAATTTTGGCTAATTTTTGCTAATCTTGGCGAACGCATTTGCAAAAAAGAAAAACAATATTTAGCAACCCTCTCGTGGTTTTGGCCGCCTGGAAGCTCATTTTGCGAGAGGGTTGCTAATTTTTGCTTTTTTTCCTAATGTTTACTAACTTTTGCTAATTTTGCTAATCTTGGCCAGCGCTTGGCGAACGCATTTGCAAAACATATAGTTCCAGTGCAATTTAAATTTGCAAATTGTGTTGCTATTTTTTGCTAAATAATTATTCTACTGTTTCCAGAGGTTCCCTGCAATTCAAACTCTTAAGATTACTTGCAACAATGACATCGCCCTTGAGCTTTGTTTATGGAGCTTGCATCAAGAGATTCGGCTCAGAGTTCAATGCCATCAGCTTGTCGATGGGCAAACCATCATTGTTTTTTCCTTATTTTGTCTCAGATACATTCATACCCATGACCGAGCCAGGGATGTCTGTCGTTTGATAGCTGTTTGTGGCGAATGCGCAAATGAATCCTTGGGTCATTTTGGAAACATGCCTGTAAGGTTGGCCCCGGAGTGTTCCCTCAAAGGGTTCCTTCTTAAATGATCCACTCGGGGTTTATTAAACCTGGAAGGCATGATGGACCCTTGACCACAGCACATTGCCACCGTTTTCAAAAAAAACGCGTACTATGCTGTATCAAACCTTAGCCGCCCAGGCATTTCTTTATAGGCATTAGAAACGCGCAGCTCCGGCGATCGCAGGATGCCGCGAAACCCGAACGGTGATGCCCTAAAGCCGTACCCCTTGGACAATTTGCTGGACAATTTGCTATAGTATGTGTACTACATATATATATATATATGTGGTCACCCCCGCCATGATCCAGTGTCTCAGAAAGCGGATGATTTGCCTTTTGCTCAGAAAGCAGATGATTTGCCTTTTTTGTTTGTTCTGTCTCAGGAAGTAGATGCTTTGCATTGTTTGTCAGACTATCAATACCCAAAAATCCTAGCTGGTCCTGCAACCCTAAAAATGAGCGCGCAGGGAACCCCAAACCCTGAAGGTAAACCCCAATTAAAAGCCTTCAAGCCCAACCCCGGAGACCGCCAGTTGTCGCACGCAAGGCGCGAAGCGCTTTGCACGGGTTTGCTTCATCGCAGAACAACATCTATATGAGCAAGGCTTTATTATTCTTCCTCTAAGCATCCTACATCTTATGTCTGAAGTATTTATCATGCAATAGTTGGTGTCATACTTGCTAATGGCTTACAAGATAGATTCTGTATTACTGCAAGACTTGGTTCACATTTACTTACACCATTAGTTGGATGTGCCTTGCTCTTTGCAAACGCAGTCTATTTAGGTGGTCTTTATGACGCATGGGCTGGTGTTGGTGGAGACCTGAGATTGATTGAAAGGGTGGATCTTGGTTTGAATCCCTGTCTACCAGCTCAGCGAACTTCGCTCCAGAACTGTTTGATCTCAGGTTCTTTGACACCGTCTTCAGAGCGTGGCGCAACGGCGTTCAGTCACGCGCATGACGGGAGCCTCGTCAAGGACGGGAGAACCAAGCTCAAATGACTTAGACAAGCCCATCATCATCGCCGTCATCCTCATCATCCTCATCCAGCAGGATACGTTTTTTGAGGTACCTTTTTAGGATTTTGTGCTCTTAGAAGCAGAAGGTGCCTTAAAAAACTTCAAAAAACTAGTCTCAGGGAGTCTTGGGCTGGCCCGGGTACGTAGGCTAGGTTTTAAAGTTTATTTTTTCGGTACCTTCTCAATTTTGTGCTCTCAGAAACAGAAAGTGCTGAGGTACCTGAAAAACCTAGCTGAGAGCAAAAAGTGCTGAAACCCAGTCTAAGACTCTTGGGCTGGCCCGGGTACCTAGGCTAGGTTTTTTAGGTTTTTACCCTCTCAGCATTTTGTGCTCTTACAAGCAGCAAGCGGGCACCCGCAAAAACCTAAAAAACACCTCGTCTCAGGACTCTTGGGCTGGCCTAGCTTTAGGTTCTTCAGGTTGTCTTCGGCAGCATTCTGTGCTTGTAAGAGCAGAAAGTGCCGAGAGGGTACGTAGAAAACCTAAATAAACCCAGCCTAGAAAGCACATGGAAATTTTGGGACAGTTGCTTGAAGAGTGGAGTGTGCACCCACATCCGAGTTGGAGTGTGCACCCACATGTTTGTGTGACTTGGGAATGGCCCAGGGGGCATGGTTTGTGGCAAGCCGATGCTTTCCTAAAGGTTAGTGAGCGTTTGGGCCTTGGCTATGACTTCGCGGTTTCGCAGGTGTAGTTTTGACAAGGTCTCGAAAGTTTGGTGGTTGAAGTCCACAAAGGGCCCTTGGGGGGATGTGGATTGTTGTAGAGGTTCACATCAGAAAGTGCCTTTGAAAGATACTGGTGGGTATCCGTATGCGGTTGCTGAATGGCTGATTCGCAATGCGGAAACCCTTGCTTCCTGAGGCTGGAATGGATACTTATGGGCGCTTTTGTGGCCGGTGTGTCGGTCAGGGAGGTCTTTGGTCTCCTGAAGAAGTGCTGTGAGTGGTGCTTGAAAGACCAAGCCACACAGTCAACCAATCCGATTGTGTGGGTTGCAAAGACAGGAAAGGTGTTTCACACTACTGCTGAGTGCAGCTGGCTGAATGTGCTGATAAGGGTCAGCTTCGGTCTTTGGGGCCGTGCGTCCATTGCGCGGTCCGCAAGATGAAGACTGGATGATGGCAGCGAAGAATGTCAAGACACATCTGCTTTGTGGCGAGAAAAGTCAGCTCAAGCCAAGAGGGGGTGTGAGAGAGTGTGTTTTGTCTCAAGCAGACTTTTTGTGCATGATGGTTGACCGTTGTGTGTAGAAAGACTAGGTGAATCGGTTAGAACGTGTTTGAACTTGTCCTGGATCGTTTTGAACCGATCCGTTTTCCACGCATGGTGTTTCAAGACAATTTGCATGTCTTTGGACTGTCTGAACCAAGTTTTGTTTTGGTTTGGTGAGTAAAAGGGCAATCTTCCTCAGGGCTGAGAGTTTGTTTGTCTGAGGGGCCTGGTTATGAACCAGGTATCTTGACGAATTCACGAGCGGATTTCCGTTTGTCCTCTGTTTTGTGTGTTTGTGTGAGCAAGCAGGCAGAAAAGGCAAACGGGTTGTCGGCTGTGCTGTAAACATGTCTAAAGAAGTCCGAGAGTAGAAGGGACACCATGAGGTGACGCCTTTTCGTCTCTGTGCAAATGAATCCAAGTGCCTGACTAAGGTTTAGAGAGTTTGAGAGACAGTCAGGGGTGCATGTGCGAACCTAAGACTCCGAGAGCCCCGATTCAGAGTAAGGCTGAAGTTCAGGAGCAGAACACGCTTCAATTGCAGCGAGATCTCCAGGAAATAAAGAGCTCATTTGAGAACACACTGCAGTGCGCCCTTGCAGAGCAGACTAAGGGTCTCATGTCATCTTTTCAGTCGATGTTGCAGCCATCTAAGCGGCAGCCGCAAAGTGGCAAGAGATCAGCGCCCTGAGATCTGCACGAGGACATGGACGACTAGACAGTTTGAAGCATGTGTGCACTGTGGGGTTTTTTGTTTGGTTCCAAGTTGAGGCTCACGGTTTGGCTCAAGCTTCAAGTATCCCATTTGTCAATCTGGAGACTATAGCCCTTGTGTTCGAACACCCGGAAATTGAGCTGTTTGTTGAACCGAGAAGTGAAGAGCCAGAGTTGCAGTTTCACAGACTTCGAAACCGCTGGTGTGTGGTGCTAAAAGAGGACGGCGTTCTCACTATCTGCAGATTTGCGAGAAAAATTCGGTATGGCACTGGGTTATCTACGGGGATTAGAGTGGCTATTGTTCTTTTCTGGACTTTGGTCTGGAGTTTCTCATTGGCGGGACGTACGACGACACGGTGCGCAACATCAACATCGGCCGTGCGGGCTACCTGCGCCACAGCTTCATTGCGGGCTTCCCGACCGAGCGAGTGCCCAAGATGCCCCTGAGTGGCGTTAGCGCCCGAACTGAAAAAAACACTGTCGTCCGTTGTTTTTGACTACAGACGACAGAGCCAACAAAAACTTGATAAAAAAAGGCCTTATTCAAGGCTCGTCGGGATCTGAGAAAGCCCGAACGGACAACGGGCCTAGGGATGCTCAGCCGCTCCGCAAGCTCTGCCGTGGCTGCCCTTGCGATCTCGCCGCGCAGCAGAAACGCTGTAGAGCAGCTTGCATGACTGCCGGCTGACCTTCTCGTACTGCCCCTCCATCAGTCGAGGCCCTCCGCGCAGCCCTGAGGTGCCTCCCTTCTTCCCACGCTTTGCACCTTACCTTTGCAACAAGCCAGCGTACCTCTCAGCACTTTCTGCTCCTTGGCTGGGCTTTTCAGGAGGGTACTTAAAAGTCTAGCCTCTGCTCCTCAGCTAGGTTTTGAAGAGTTTTCAATCAAAACCATTTCTATGATTCAGGTTGCAGCACTTTCCATGAGTTTAGTTGCAGTTCTATACAACACTTTGTACGATGTAGGTTGCAGTTCTATAAAGCAATTTCTATGACTTGGGCTGCAGTTCCATGAAGCACTTTCTTGTCTTCAGGTTGCATGTCTAAAAGCACTACCTATGATTCAGGGAGCGCTGAAATAAAAACTGTTGTAAAAAATTGGGTTGCAACTCTATGAAGACCTTTCTATGATTCATGCAATTCTATAAATCAATGTCTATGATTCAGGTTGTTCTATTAAAAACACCTTCTATGGTTCAGGTTGCCACTCTGTAAAGAGCTAGGTGGCAACTCCATAAGCCACTTTCTTTGATGTAAGTCGCAATTCTAGAATCAGTTTCCAAAATCTGGGTTGCAGTTCTCTACAACACTGTCTATGATTTAGGCTGCAGTCTTTCTATGACTGAGGTTGCAGATCTATACAACACTTTCTATGGTTCAGGACGCAGTTCTATGAAGAACTTTCCATGATTTAGGTTGCAGTTCTATGCCTCACCAAATAGTTTCTATGATTTAGGTTGCAGTTCTATAAAACACTTTCTGTGATTTACGTTGCCGTGGTATGTAGAACTTTCTGTGGTTTAGGTTGCAGTTCTATCAAACAGTTTCTATCATATAGGTCGCCGTTCTATAAAACACTTTCTATGATTTAGGTTGCAGTTCTATAAAACAGCTTCTAATATTTCGGCTTGGGGGACCTAACATGTGTCTGCATGTATGTATGTATGTATGCATGTATGTATGTGTACACATGATGAACAGACATATATATATATATATGTATGTATACATATTTACATGTGCACTGTACCGGACGGGTTTTTCTATCCATGCACATCCCGACATGAATATACATATATATATATATACAAATATGCTCACCGCTGGATCCAAGCCCAGAATGTTGGATGGAAGACTTAACACTGTGCACATCCATAGATTTTGGCTCCTGCTGATTGAATCGCCAATCAGCTTTTTACCACCAAAACTACGCCAGCAGAGACCTCAGACAGCAAAAGCATGCCAATGAGCATTCGGCCGTCAATCGATCTAGCACCTCCAACAGCACCCCACAGCGTCCCAAAACAGCACACGCCAAACTACCCCAAACAGCACCTGCATCAGCACCCCAAACTGCACGCCCCCTAGCACCAGACCATCAATCTCGCAAATCACTTCCCCCTCTTTATTGGAAGCTGGATTCCCTACAGCTTTCAGCAATCTGGGAAAAACGGACTTCTCACCACATTCTGCGTCCAAGGGTACCTTTCTTAGAAGCATAAAGTGCTGAGATGTAAAAATTGCGACCTGAGTCATAGAAAGTTCTTCAGAGAACTGCAACCTAAACCATAGAAATTGTTTTCTTCCGAGTTGCAACCTGAACCATAGAAAAGTCTTCATCGAGTTGCGACCAGTCATACAAATTGTTTTATGGAATTGCAACCTAAACCGTAGAAAGTTCTTCTAGAACTGCAACCTAAATCACACAAAGCGTTTTATTGAACTGCGGCCAAGAAAAATGGCTCTCCGCAAGGGAGTTTCCACTCAGTTCCAGGCCCCGTAAATTTGCGCATGATTTTGCTCATGCATCTGCATTTTGAAGGTTGCATGTTTGCAGATCTCTGGTTGTTGAATGTTCATATCAGGGTGTAGAGCCAACATCCTCTAGCGACAAACTCATGCCTTTTTCAGTACAATATTTAAGTACACGCAGAGGCTTGTGTGGTTTAGAGCCATCATACTTGCTTCCACCGTGGCGCAGAGATGTTTAGAGCCATCATACTTGCTTCCACCGTGGCGCAGAGATGCTCACCTGAGCTGGCAAATTTTAAACTTGTCAGAGTTCTTCGTGTCAGTGGCTCAAAGTCTTTGATCTTTTCTGAGCCAGTCAGCTCGGAATCTTGCTGGTTCTCAGTAAGGAATGACCCATGGGGTTGGGAATGAACCCATGGGTCCCCTTACTGTAAATGAAACCACCAGTTGGACGGTTTATACGTTCCCTCATTCCCTCAGAGCCAGCAATTCGTTCTCCAGAACCACAAGGTCCGTTTGTAGGCATGCCACTTCTCGTTCCCAGTTGAGCCAAGGAAGTTTCCAGGACGAAGGTCCCAAGGCCGTGGTTTTTTCTTGCCAGTGCTCAGGGAACCTCCTGCAAACCATGAATTGGTCTGAATTTTGAATCAAAACAAGTTTCTCCATGGTTTCTGTTAAGGGACTCCCAGGTTCATTCCCTCATGCCCTACTGACTCCAGGCGTCGTGGCTCCGGGCACCGCCGCTCTCGCCGCCTTCGCCGCAAGCGGCCGCCTGCGGGGCCGCACGGCCTGTGTCACCGGCGCAAGCCGGGGAATTGGCAAGGCGCGGATGCGTTGCATCGGGGGCGCTCACGTTCCGGAACTCGGACTTAAGTCGTTTTTTGTTGGGGGCCATCCACTCGGGAAGTGAGATTGGGTGTGCCTGTTTTAAGCTTGGACCGTCAACAAATTAATGGTTTGCCTTTTGGTGTCCCGATCGAATGAACCAACAAAAAGGTTCACCAAAATAACACACCCAATTGAAAAGATCTCGGTTGTCACCTGGCTGTTCACGAGCCCACCCATGATGGATCCTTACATTAAGCACCCCGATTTTGAGTTTTTGAATCACATGCACAGGGAATCCACCAAGAACAGAACAAGCCAGACATGGGCAGAAGAAGCTCCACTACAATTGAGGTGTTTTTCGGTCAGAACTGTAGCACTTGAACCTGTGGGGATCTTTTGCTGACAGAGGTTTGCTACGTGCCTCAGAATTGTTTAGGATCTTCCAGACATGGTAAGTAGATTGTAGTCAGGGCGTTTGACCACTTGCCATGCAGCATATTTAGTGAACCTGTACATGAACATCCCAGGTTTACCTTGTGACCCCCTTGGACAACGCAAGGCAGGTAGTCCAACCACTTCTAGGTCTCCTTATGTTCAACCCAAAAGGGGATCGCAGGATAAACTCACCAGAATCAACCTTCTAGGTCTCCTCTTGACTGCTATTGGGTTGGATCTTTAGACTTTAACTTTTTGGAACATCAAGGTGTTTTCCACTAAACCCCCCAAAAAAAGTTAAGCTTTTTGCAGGGGGGTCAACAGCAACCAAGTCCTTGTGTTCACCCAAGCCGCCAGAATCAATCGGGTTCGGTGGCAAAAGCTGGCCGGAGCTTTGCATTAGCGAAACCACAGGGAACGGGCTTGGGGTCGAAGACCCTGTTGAGCTTGACTCTCCAACTTGAAATGACTTGCTCCGGTGATCTTGACACACCATGTTCGGAGCAGATGGTAGGGCATCGCCGTGGCGCTGGGCGAGGCTGGGGCCAAAGTCTTTGCCCCTCGGCCTAGTGCTGATTTTGCAAGAAATCCTTTTGGTCGAGAACACTTCTTATTTTCCCCTGTTGGTTTTAAAGAGAACCTATCACTACTGTGTTCTGTTTTTTCCCGGGTACTTAAGCGAATGGAGGAATCCCAGTTTATTCATAGGGTCTTGAGCGCCATCCATTTTCGGGGCTAGTCCATTCGGCAGGTGAGTTGTTACACACTCCTTAGCGGGTTTCGACTTCCATGACCACCGTCCTGCTGTCAAAATGAACCAACACCATATCTGATGAGCGTGCAGTTAAGCACCTTAGCCCAACGTTAGGTTCATCCCTCATCGCCAGTTCTGCTTACCAAAAACGGCCCACTTAGAGTTGGCATTTATCCCAGAAGTTCACCGAAGCAACCACTGTGGATCTTGCCCATTTAGAGTTTGAGAGTGGGTCGAAGACAACGCATCCCCGATTCCTCTAATCAGTCGCTTTACCTGACAAAACTGTTCAACTCCAGCTATCCTGAGGGAAACTTCGGAGGGAACCAGCTACTAGATGGTTCGAGTAGTCTTTCGCCCCTATACCCACATATGACGAACGATTTGCACGTCAGTACCGCTACGAGCCTGTCAACCTGGGTTTGGTGGGGATGTTTCACGTTTGGAGGGGAACACCCCCCATGCGAATAAACAGTTTTTTCCCGGGGTACACATTGAGTTGGAAGAGTTGTTCAAATTGATTTGTCTTCATTAGCATCCAACGACTGCCCTCGTGCTGTGCGAACAACAGTCGTTGGGGGGGTGGGGTGGGGTGGCAAGGCTGGATGGCTTCCTTTGGTCTTGCTCAACTGGCGCACCGACCTTGGGCGGGAATATTTGAAAGGATCCGGCAAAAAAGCAAGCATGCAGCAGCACAATAACAATATGCAGGTTGCTTCAGATTCTGCCTGAAATGTGGGTGAGATTATTTTCGGCTGGTTGCCACACCGCACCCTAGTATGCACTTGCACGGACAATTCTTGAGCACAGTCTTCACACTCTCAACATAGATGTGTTCAGCTAGCGGCAAAGGAGTTGTATTGTTTTCCAATTGATGGGTGAAGGTGAAGTCTGTGGCCACAGTCTTTCGCAAGGTTTCCTTTTCCGGAATCCTAGTCATGTTCATCTTAAAGCCAAGAGCGGCTCTTCAAACCCCAAAAGCTTTCGTGCAAACTCGAGATGATGTTTGGGAAGGCACAAGCACATACATAGCTGCGTTGGTTCCTTTTTGATGATTGGATTCCAAGAATTCAGCCACTATCAATGCTCAATTCATGCAACACTTAGGGCATCATACCATGGGTTCATGGATTCACAAACCCAGCCTTTTCTTTGACACAAAAGTGTTTTCCCGGCAAAGTACAAACAAAAGCGGTCCAATTTTGAGGCAATGAGTCCCGCAACCAGTTTTACTACTACATTCTGCTGGAAGCTTTTTTGGCGTTGATGGTTCTTTCGCAAACTTCCTGCAAAAATTCCAAGAGCCGGGATTGGGTGTGTCATTTTTTAGGTTGGACCTCCCAAAATGGCGGGGTTCCTTTTGGTTTCCCTTCAAAAACGCCAAACAAAGGTACCCTCATGAAAAGACTTCCATTTATGTAGATATAGATATACATATATAATGTGTATATATATATACATAAGCACATATATGAGGTGAATGATTCTTCGTTGCCTGGGCCTTGGGTCGAGGTCACTGGCCGCAAGAAAGCGGCGGTGGAAAGCACTGCCGAGCTGGTGACCCGAGCAGGTGGCGAAGGCGATGCCGAGAAAACGGGAGCGAGCCAAGCCCCTCCTCTCATCACTCCAATTTGGCCATGGTTCAAAACCAATGGTGGGATAGGTGAATCACCCATTTTAGAACCTATTTTAGTGGTTGGATTGGGATGTTCACTGGGGGTACGGAGTTTTGACCCATGCCCATTTGCGAGATTCGACCCTTTGCGAAGCAATCCCTTTACCCATGGGTGCAGATAGCAGGAGATTGGTGGCCGTCTTTTGGAATCCGGAGGGTGGCTTAAGTGTCCGCTGATTGCATTGCTACATTTTGCACGGGGTGTAAATCTGGCCAATTGGTGCCGATCTAAGGGCGTTTCCAATGTAGGCAACGCCCCGTGTGAAAAGTAAGGACGCCTTTGGAGATGGCACAGAAAGTTTACCAAATCCCCATTGTTCACAACTTTGATCTTGGTCCTTGGCTAAAGCCAACTTGCATGCTGCTTGGCTCGGGGTTTGACGTCTGCACTTGTTGCCGTTGTTGATCTCATCGCTGCTATTGCTCTGGTCAGCTGGTTTAATTGCTTTTGGGTGTTTCTTTTGCCATGCAGAAGCCGCGTGGTCACTTGACCGGACCGAGCTCTGACTCACAAGACTGACAAGTTTCATGAGTGAAAGCTGCCTTTGTCAATGGATGTTGCGCTGCGCTACCCCCACCGCTATCAAGGATCAGCACACACCCTCGACCCAGTTTGACCACATTGAGCCTTTGTCAGCTTACGCGTTGGTGTGATTGCGGAAGCGAAGGCCGGACAATGCTTTGTGGTATTGAGGAGACCCGATTTATAGTCAGTGAGTCAGTCAGTCATAAATATCATGAATGCACAGACGGTTTTGTTGGCCTATTCTCCCTTTAACGATGGAACTGTGGACCGAGCCCTGATGAGCCCTGAAGTTCTGGACTAAACACGCAAGGCGAGAAGGGAAGCGACCAATGCCCAGAATTTCATGACTCGCCACATACCTGACTGATCAAACCCCGCTTTTGGGCCTCTATCAGGCGTTGGGTTTCTTCATGCAGCGTTGTTCCCTTTGCGGGTGGCCGTGATTTCCAGTGCGAAGCCTTTGCGAAAACCTCAGCGTCCACCGTGCTCTTCTGGCGCTCCCAGGTGTTGCGCTGGTTTGTGACCACGCCGTGGACGAGCAGGTGAAGGGCGCCTTCGACCAGCCACCCAACTGCAGTCAGGTAAGCGTAGGGTGCACAAAAGGGTGGAGATGGGTGAAGCATTCATTTTTGTTGCATTTATCCTGGATGTTAGGACTTTAACTTTTTGCCAACGAATGGGTTTTCCATTAAACCACTAAAAGTTAAACTTTTAGCAGGGGAGCAGAAAGCAACCAAGTCATGACCATGAACATGGCCTCTGCGGAATTAGGCGCATGCCACTGTTTTCTACACCGCTGCTAACGAGCTTCCGCCACATTCGAGGAGATGCTGCAAAGGTACCTGACTTGGCTTGACCTGAGAAAGGAGACGATGAAGGATTGCCATGCACTCCAGCAATGATGTAAAGGGTAAAGGGAGCGCTTGTCCAAGAATACACGTTCAGCACACACCCACGGCTTCGTTGAGTGGCTTTGTGCTTCTTGGAGGCTTGTCGAGGTTTCTTTAGACATTTCTGGATTTGGCTTGTTTCTGAGAGTGTGAAGATCTTTGACCGGGGCCGTCGATTGGACTGGGAGGCATGCTAAAGTTGGTAGAACCCCTTCGGAGGTTGTCAAAAAGAAACCAAGGAAGCAAGCTACTTTCGAGAACCCTTTTGATTGAACGGTTTGTTGAGGCTGCCTTTTAGGAATCCGCAGTCTGAGGATTCGGTCCGACGCAGCTTGGCTAGAGAAAGCGATCGCCGGCAGACCTCCGAATGCAGTGGGCACAGGTGGGGCCCCTTCAAACGAGCCAAATACTCCCTGGTTTGTGTGTTTGTGTGTTTGTGTGTTTGTGTGTTTGTGTGTGCTAAATTGCGTGAGGCCCCCCTGTGTATACCCCAAATCCATGAGATTAGCCAAAATTCATTAAACAGCCTGACTCCTCCTAGGTTTTGGTTGCTCCCTTACTTTTCCAACTCAATCCCCCTCAACAACTGCCAATCAATCAAGTATCAAGCCTGAAATGCATCCCCAAACCCAAAAGCCAACGTTGATTTGAAGCCTAATTTTGAACGCTGGAGCTGAAGTGCAAAGGAACACATGTTGAGCTGGGCCCTTGCGTTGCAAAGGCCTCCAGTATGTGCATTGCCCCAGCCTCCAAAATGCAACCATAAATCCAAATTGGAGGTAGTGGGAAATATTGCAATATATGTAATATATGAAAAATGGCTGCAACATGATATGGGCCATAATGATTTTCTTAGCAGTGATGAACATTGAACGGTGTGCTTTCTTTTTAAGGGACCGGTCACCTAACAATGGTGGTGTTCCTCGTAATTTCCTTTTACAAGCGAGCCCAAAATAGGTTCCCCTCTAAAAACTGCCCATGAATACCCATAGTGTCCCCGTTGGTCCGTTGGGGGGATGATGTTGGGAGTTGGGATGGTGTCACACCACAGGATGTGAGTCTGGCTCAAGCAACAAGATTTGAATATGAATTCGATATGAAATCACAGTTAGCACCAGGAGCGCCGGCCGCCACATCGATGTTTTCCCCCTCATGGCTTCGTCCACTGCATCGCAGTGCTGGAAAGCGCAAATCCCTCGGCAAATTGCCAGGCCAACACAAGTTCGGTTGCTCCACATGTCCACGCAAACTCAAACAAAGGCACACTATTCTTTGAGGGTGCCGGAAACTCCAACCTCGAGCCTCAGAGCCTCAGAGCAACCGCAACCGACCTACCCTGTCTGATCAGCTGATCAGCCTACGAAATCTTCCGGCGTTTGCCGCCGGAGAAAAGTGACTCTAAAGCCGCCGACGGCTTCTCAGCCGACGGCTTCCCGGCAGCCTTTGCCTTCGCGGCGCTCTTGCTCTTGGCCTTGGCCTTTGGCCCACTGGCGGCCTTGGCGGATTTGGCCAGAAGCAATCCTAGACGACTCGTAATCCAAATGCAACCAGGTTAACCTAACTACCAGCCCGCTAGCCGCTAGCCTCAGCTAAAAAGCGTTCCCTGTCAAGTTAGTAACAGTTGGTCATTTATACAATTCGGCTTCAACAACGAATTCACGAAATAATATATACCTGGAAAGCCCGGCGGTGCTGAATTTCTGCCGCTGATTGAAATTGCACTCTTGTTCGCCGTTGCTGCCAAAAAAACGCTTTTTGTCCCCCAAAACGCCGTTGGAGCAATTCGTCAATATTCAATGGACTGTCCCCAAAATCAAAGAGTTTGGAGTTGGCCCTGAACAAGTAGGTTCCTTATTACTTATTAGAGGGAATTTGGATAAATTGGGTTGATTCATGCAAGGCACTGGCGTCTTTGAAGTCGACGCTGCGGCTGCGGCCGGGGCTGCCTCCTAGCAGCCAGCCAAGCAAATGTGAAGTGACTGCGGACTGCCATCCATTGCCGACGGTGTGGTGTTCAAGTTCAAAGCCCATACTATCACTGCTCACCACTAACACTGTCCAACGCCAACATCAAAACACAATTAGAGTTTAGAATCTGTTCTGTGCCATGCTGCTGGGCCCAAAAAGCCCGTCCTTGGCCTTGGCCCCCTTCGCCTTGGACTTGGTCTTGGCCTTGTCCACGTCCACGTCACGCGTCTCCAGCGTTGGCGCCAGCCAGCCAGTAGCGACATATTGATTCAATTGATTCATTGACAAATTGACTGGCTTGACTGATCGACGATCGACTGACAGGTTTGCATGTTGACGATGTGCTCATTTACGACATCCACCGACCTGCCAACTACCAGCCTTCGCGCCGCAGTCTGTGGCTGCTTCGGCTTCCATGAGCGCACCCAGGGCCATGTCGAGATCCTCACTATCCTGAGCAGTCAGCAGTTGGCCATGACAAGCACTGGCACAAGAATCCCCGCGGGGGACCTCAAAATTGCAATTTATTTCTTTTTGGGGGGGGGGGGTAGCCGGGCAGCCCGCTAGCCCTTGAAATATAATCATATATAGCCCGCAGAAAAACACAACCCTTTTCTGGGACCAGCGTTCGGTTTAGTGGCCGCTCAAGCGGCAGCCGCCTCCGTGTTTCCCAACCACCCCGCCCCCTCAAAAGTGCAACAAACATTTACGTATCACTGAGTACTCAGTACCCCCCCCCTCAAATTACAATTGTTAGGGGGAGGCAAATGTGACTAACTCAGAACTCACTAGACTCACTGGCCAACATGTTTCTGGAATCTCAATAATCTCAATTCAAAATTTCAAAATTCCAAAAAAAGAAAATATATCACAATCTCTCGCGGGCGCAGCAAATCTTTTATCACAAAAAAATGGAAGGCCGGCCAACCAAGGCCGAGTGACGGACCAACCCCAAACAAAAAACACAAAAGGCGAGAAGCGGCCATCGCGGAAGCAGCCTCTGGGTTTGCAGCAGGCTTGGTCTCGGCAGCCTCCGGCGGCGGCGTGGCCATTGCCTTCTCTGACTCTGGGGCACTTGGGGCCGGGGCAAACTCCTCTGCAGCCTCCGGTGTGGGCATCGCCGCGGATGCTGTCTTCTCTGACTCCGGGGCAGACTTGGTCTTGGCAGCCTCCGACTCCGGGGCAGCCTCCTCTGCAAACTGGGCAGCCTCCGGCTCCGGAGCGGGCATTGCCGCGGAAGCAGTCTTCTCGGACTCCGGGGCAACCTCCTCAGCAGCCTCTGGCGGTGTGGGCATCGCCGCGGAAGCAGTCTTCTCGGACTCCGGGGCGACCTCCTCTGCAGACTTGGTCTCAGCATTTTCTGGCTGTGTGGGCATCGCCGCGGAATCAGTCTTCTCGGACTCCGGGGCGGGGGCGTCCTCCTCTGCAGACTTGGTCTCAGCCGCCGCGCAAGCAGTCTTCTCGGACTCCGGGGCAGACTTGGTCTCGGCAGCCTCCTCCACAAACTGGGCAGGTTCCGGCGTGGGCAGCGCCGCGGAAGCAGTCTTCTCTGACTCCAGGGCAACATCCTCTGCAGACTTGGTCTCAGCAGCCTCTGTCGCCATGGGCATTGGCGCGGAAGCAGTCCTTTCTGAGGCCTCTGGGGCCTCTGGGGCAGGCTTGGTCTCGGCAGCCTCCAGTATAAGCATCGCGGCGTCAGCCTCGCCAGGAGCCTGATCAGGCTGGCTAGGCTGCTCCTGATTGGCGGCAGCGGCAGCAGCAGGCTTTGGAGCTGGCTCTGGCGTGGGCTGTGTGGACTCCGGCTTGGTCTGCTCGGTCGCTTCCTTTGGGGCCACCTCCTCAGCAGCCTCCACATCAGCATCAGCAGGAGGCCCGGGCACGTTGCTGTCATCGTTGGCTGCATGCGCGGCCGCAGACTCAAGCCTTGTTCAGTGGCCCAGATCCGACATCATCAGCAGACCAAGGCTTCTGCAGCTTCAGCAACTCCGCCAAAAAGGAAACCCTGTCTGGCTGCATGAGTTTCTGCCAGAAGTCAAATGCCACATTTGCAGGGCACAAAGCATTGAACATTTGCGCACGGAGAAACGTGCTTGGCGTTGCGCAAGTCTTGCTCAGGACCAGCGACCCAGGCGGAATGTACACTAAGTCGCCCGGCATCACAGTCATAAAGGAGACAAAGTTGACCTCATTAAAGAGTTCAGGCGCATCCTGGTCCTTCAGATTGCAGATCATGGCGGGGATGTCCAAGGCCACCTCAATGTCATGGTCGGAGTGGCAATCGTCAAGAATGCGCTGCGTGCTGAACACAGCCATGTAGCACTTCCTCAGAATTGCAGCTCCGGTTAAAGTTGGCGGGTGAGCAATGGTCAGACCGGCCGCAAACAATCATAATATATATCAAATATCAAACAAACGTCAAAAATGGTATGAAGTCTTAAGTCTTAAGTTGTCAACATTCCATTTCACATTGAGGCGAAAACGACGACGCCGGCAACAACTGACTGCGTAATCGAGAGTCGTTCCCTGCAACATGATCTTCACCGTGCCGAGGCCGAACGGCTCGCAGCCTTCCTGGGCCGACTGGATCATGGTCATGGATCATGGATCACGACATGCTACGGAGGGCACACTGATACAACAAAGATGGATCATGGATCACGACATCCTATGGAGGCCACACTGATACAACAAAGATGGATCATGGATCACGACATGCTATGGAGGGCACACTGATACAACAAAGATGGATCATGGATCACGACATGCTCTGGAGAACTACACGATACAACAAGATGGATCATGCATCGGCATTAGCATGGAGAATACCTGGACCTAACAAGATGGATCATGGATCGGCATGCGCATGGAAAACACATGATCGTCGCGATACAACAAAGATGGATCATGGATCACGACATGCTACGGAGGGCACACTGATACAACAAAGATGGATCATGGATCACGACATGCTATGGAGGGCACACTGATACAACAAAGATGGATCATGGATCACGACATGCTATGGAGGGCACACTGATACAACAAAGATGGATCATGGATCACGACATGCTACGGAGGGCACACTGATACAACAAAGATGGATCATGGATCACGACATGCTATGGAGGGCACACTGATACAACAAAGATGGATCATGGATCAACACTGATACAACAAAGATGGATCATGGATTCGATCACATGCTATGGAGGGCACACTGATACAACAAAGATGGATCATGGATTCGATCACGACATGCTACGGAGGGAACACTGATACAACAAAGTTCAACAAAGGTGCTCAATTCAGTTGAGTTTCTTGCACGTACCCTGCTTTGTAGCCCACAAGGTGTAGCTCTC